GAAGGATGTGGATAATCTCGAGAGGGTCCAGAGGAGGGCTACTCATATGGTTAAGGGTTTACAGGCCAAGACCTATGAGGAGAGACTAAGGGACCTGGACCTTTCCAGCCTATGCAAGAGAAGGTTGAGAGGTGATCTTGTGACCACCTAAAATTCAGTGGTCACAAACTGACAGAGAGCAGATTTATGCTAGGCATCAGGAAAAACTTCTTTACAGTAAGGGTGGCCAGTATGTGGAATGGGCTTCTAATGGAGGTGGTGCTGTCCTCTACTTTGGGGGTCTTTAAGAGAAGACTGGATAGGCACCTGGCTGGGGTCACTTGACCCCAGCACTCTTTCCTGCCCGGGCAGGTGGTCAGACTAGCTGATCTGTTGAGGTTCCTTCTGACCCTAGCATCTATGAAGCTAGGCTCCAGGAGACTCAATTAACTGAATCTGCTCCAATGCGCTGTAATTACAGTGTGTTGGAGCAACCTCCCTGCACGTGTATAGGAGCCCCAAGGCAATGGCTTAACCCAAGGATTGGCAACCTGTAGACCACAGGCCAGCTCCAACCCGTGGAGTGATTTGATCAGGCCTGAGAATGTGGAGCTTTGGTAACATTTGCCTGGTGGGTGGCAGGGAGGGTTCACTATGCTCCATGTGGAGAAGCACCAGCTATGAGAATTCTCTCTCTGTCACTGTGGAAAAATCAGGGCTGTGTTCTAGTGCCCTATTGCCCATCGACCTCTGAAATGATCTGTATCACTCCAGTCTGCAGCCTAGAAGGGCTGCCCATTGCTGGCTTAACCAAAATACAATCCTCACTAGTATCCTTTGATACTAGTCTCTCTATTTAACTACTCACCCATCCCCAAACTGCAACTGGACTTTGTGTAAAAAACATTAGTCTACCCCTAATGCCATTTCTTTAGCAATTGTGTTAGATTGCTCCCACTAACCTGCTCACTCTGGATGCAGTATATTTGAAACCTCTTCAAACAGTACCCTTTTTGTTTTTCAAGTTTTGTTTCCTAAGTCGCCGTATAGCCGAACTTGCACAGAAAGTCCTACAGAGTATTTGAAGAATTGCTTGTATAATTTTTTTATTGAATTGGTTCCTTTCATTTTAATATGGTTAAACTCTGCTGTGGATCACACACAGGGGATGAGATCAGTTTATTTGGCACTGACCCATTCATTCAACTTGAAGCAATCAGATTAAAAACCTTTGCACTTTATTAATGTGTGGGCAGATGGCATTCAAAGTTCCAAGGACACTCTTTATGAAAGCACCTTGAATGATCAGCCTTGTTATACAATTTGTATTTTGCTTCCAAGTTTTATGAGAATTTGTTTCTGAAAAATAAATCCAGTCAATGCTATTTTTAGATTGTATAAAGTGAAAAAACCCAAATATAGAATCTGGGTTTTTTGTTAATGAAAACATTATGGCTTCAAAATATATCATGTTCCCTAATACATTTCCCCCTACAACAAAATAAGTCCAGTCAGAAGGTGCACTATAAACACTTCACTATTCATTTTCTAAACCATTTTAGTCTTTAAAAATTTTCTAAAACCTATTTTAGTTTTTTAATGCTGCTTCAGAAATCAGAACAATTTAGCACTCAGACAGGATACATTTATTAGTGCTTAATAATCAATGCAATTCAAGTTGAAGTAATTTCTAACAGCATAAATAACTGAGAAACACCTTCACATTGTAAATGTTAATGTGTGAATAAAATTATGTATGTCATTCCATGTCAAGTAAAGTATCTAAAAACATCAGAAAATGTTTGTCTGAATGAACCAGCGTTAATAATAACAGAAGGAAAAACTAAGGAAGTAAAATATTTTTAGGGCTGGATCCAAATCCACTTAAGTTTAGGGATGCTTTTAATATACAGTGTGTGTGTGTGTGTGTGTGTGTGTGTGT